CATAGACGTCGCAGGTTAAATCAAGTCACACTGTTAGACTGGAGTTCCGTAGCGAATTACGATCGGTCGATGACGAACCAAGTGAACAGTAACACCAAAACTGCTAGCAAACGAAACTAACGTCACCAATACCAATATGTAAATGTAATATTACTGCTGAATTTCTTCGTTCACTTATCACCGAGCCGTTGCAGTGTGTTTTACCAGTGGTGTCATTTATTATTGTGCATTAATCAATTTCAATAAAACATACCGCCAAAGACAAGTGTTCCCCACAATCACTCCAACAGCTAGAACGACGTGCATTCTCGGTACTTACAGGCGAAGTTCACGTGTGGCGCGTCAAATGAAGGAAAGAAAAATTGCCAAGAAAAGACGGTCTGATAATCAAAATGATGAGAACAGATGGTCAACAGCCACGCACGAATCTTGCTCGCAGGTTCAGTTACAAACAGAAAACGGAAAAGAAAATATCAAGCTGGAAAGAGTGAAAAATCAACAGCAACGCTCACCAAACAAGGCAAGAACGAGAACGTGAATAACGCCCAATCTGCCTGCTTTCACAAACCGCAAACTGGTCATCAAAATCGTCATCATGTCTGCACGGACAACGGCCCGAGGAACAAAAAACTGATAACATATTTAACTCCCGCAGATCGCAAGGGATACCAGCTTGATGTGTTTAAATCGTCGGTCGACCACCCGTTAAATCAACCAGTTGAACGACACGAACCTTAGCTGCTTGATGAACATGACGTTGCTCGACACCTCGTGCGGATTCTCGTAGAGACGAGCGTAAAAAATACAACGAGGCATCGCGTGCGCGAAACTCCTGTTTGCTTGTTTGGAAATGGTGTTCTGAACGATGAACTTAAAGGGTGAAATTAACATCCACGGTAAACAATTCAGCCACTAAGATCTGCTGATGACGCGATGTCATCTGCGAAAAATGCTACGCACACACAAGACGAACTACGAGAGCTCGAGCAGCACAACGCACAAGTCTGTTCAAGACGAACACATTACGATCGGATACCCGACCAAAGGTTACGACAACACTGAACGGATCGAAAGTTCAAGATATCGATAAATACATTCACTGGGACAAATGATCAAAACGAGGCACGATCGGGCTGGAGAGACTTTATGGCGAGAGAGAGAGAGAGAGAGAGAGCGAGAGAGAGAGAGAGAAAGAGAGAAAGACAGCGAGAGAGTGAGAGAGAGAGAGCGAGAACCAGTCGGCGCGTGTTTCATTCCACTGAAGACTCCTGGTGGACAATATTAGGAAAGAAACCCCCACCATGCTGTTAAATTCCACCGTCACGTCCCCAATATTCTATGGCCATGAGACATCGTTACTTACTAAGCCGAACAACAGTATCCGTTACCGAGATACCCACGGCAAGAAGAATTACTGGATACCTCACGTTGTCGTGACAACATGCCCGATATGGTAATCAGCGGACGGCGGACGGGAATGAAGGACGTCCACGTCGGAAACGAAACGAAGAAGCTATGGTAGAAGCCACAAAACAAACCTTATTTCGGTTTCCCGACGCTTGATGATCACCGGCACCATCAGTGGCAGACTATTCTGCTTGGTCGTTCGCCTTCCTAGCGGAGAGATCGTATCAGGAGCGGTGAAGAGCACACATAGAGAAAAAGAATTCGAAACGGCGAGAAACTGAGGGAGGGGGTGAAGGGGACATATGGATTAACTGGCCTAAATAACTCCTGTGATTAATATATCATTATATTCATATCGGAAGCTACCAATAATTAGAAAAAGTTTATAACAGATCTATGTTCTGATCAGGCTGCATTGCGATTAGTTTGGGTTTCCAAGTTGCTATTCGGACAAACGGCTAAGGAGGCAACTGATCGTCACAATGTCGGCTAATCATACTGCCACGTCTCGGTTTGATAATGTGATCTTCTACCGGAGAAAACAACGAATCTGTGATCTTATGAAAGGAACAACAACGGGCTATTCGATTGGTCGGTATAACAGCCGTAAACCTTTAGCGATGTCAAACGAGGTGATACGGTGGTCGTGAAATTTGTAGATTTTTTGATCGCTACCTCAGCTTCGTTTCGTTCGTTCGTGATCACTCATCGAAAATCTTACCTCAACGAACTGAAACCGTGGTCCAGATACCGGCTGCTAACGTACTGTCGTATTCACCATTCGGACATCCAATGTTTTAACAATCTTCCGGATATTGAGCCTTTCTCGTGCCACTTAGTCGGCCAATCTACGTTTACGAACCAGTGTTTAAATTTGGTTCCAACACCTTCGTCAGCACTACTTACGTTGCCGGCATATCTGTGGATATGCGCAGACTCATGGTAAGGCACAGTTATAATGCTCGTGATTTCCTAGTGGTGCAACACTAAGCTCATCTCCATCGTTTATCCGCAATTTGATCATCATCAACGCACCGTAACCGTGAGGAACATAGTTTCACAATTAAGTCTAACGAGTGTGAAATGGATTTCTACTGTGAAGACTATTACAACGTTGAAAACCCGAAAAGGGCAACAACAATCCGGAAACCAGTGACGCTGTCATTCTTACTGTAGAATACGGTGGTGAATTCGCAGGAAAAAACGACCAAGTTTAAGTTAGCAACCAATGGATGATTACGAGGAGGGAACATTTACGCTAAGAGGAAGGAACATATAATGTATAGCGTTTTTCGACACCTCTAAATGGACTGATGCACACCTCCCTCTGTTTCTACACAATACGTTTAATTGTTTAATTCTAATCATGATTACTGTGAGATAAAGTCACTGTCAGAAATGCTGGTAATGTAAACCAAACGTGTACTCTGTTTTAGAGATCGACCTTGGCCCTGTGCCGAAAAGCACTTTCACAAAACGCTCATATAAAACGTGGCGCACAATCAAATACAGTGATGTACAGTAGAAATGCACGAATGACCACTCAGCGGATTCAAGTATTTCAACAACGACGTATACGCTAAGCGAAGAACGAACACGAGGAAGATCGGTGGTAACGCCGTGGTGCGCACAGGAACAGGAGCAGAACCGTACAACGAACAAATGCCGAAGGATTGGAAACAGTTGTTGTGACAAATGGCTTTCATCTCAGAAAGAACGAAACGGAAGAATCGGTGATGCGTTTGAAAGGAAGACAAGAAAGAGGGAATCGAAGTGAATCAGCGGTTCAGCTCAGCGAAGACGTATGTACGATTAACATACTAACAACCAGCTACATAATCAGCATACAGGGAGATCGAATTAAATACAGATGCACATGAACGATATGACGCATGAAAGAGAAAGGCAAGTTCGATGAATGGAAACGTGTGTAAAGCAGTGTTAAGATGAACAGCGTTGTATGCTGCGAAAGAAAGCAAGAAACAAAGAAGGAAATACGAATATTCAGACTGACACGGGTGATGTTCAGAAGCAGCATATCAAAAAAGCATCGTCAACGGCGGCACATGTCCGTCGGCGCACACCAACCAGCCAATCAAACAACGGCGTGTGTTCGCTTCACCGGGTCGCGTGCGTCTATGAAACGTCTATGAGCATCATCGACGAATGAAACAAAAGTCTGTGAATATCTGTTTGGCGCAGAGTTAGCAACACGTCGGTTTCGCTTGGTGATCCACACCCGTACGGGCAGACGTAGGGAGAAGTAGGCTAGAAAAATGATCCGGTCCGTAGCTGCACCTAAATAAAACAAACATCTGGCAGCTCGAAAATGACCCATGTGATGCACCCGTACGAGCTTGTACTTTTGAATTACGGCCAAGTACGATTCGATGCACATCTCTTGCTTGTGTACACAAACGACGAATTTCTTAACGACGTTTACTGAATCC